GCATCCACCCTCCTCAAACTCTGCTCTCAACCCCTGTCTCTACCACAGCCTCCTCTGACCCTATTATTCCCCCCCCAATCTACTTTATTTCTTTTAATATTTCCTTGCAGCATTCTGCTTTCTCTTGATTTTTTGTAGCTAGAAAGAGTTATTTTACATCAATAGTATTTTTTGTGTGTCTAAAATTGGTAATTATCATCAATAACATGTTGAGGGTTGGATAATGCAAGTGCAAATTCTTTGTATATTTGAAAAGCCATATAAAATGTAAGGGTGAGATTTTATTTGTCTAATTTTTTAAAAATCCTCACCCAAGGATATATTTATTGATTTTAGAGAAAGAGGAAGTGAGAGAGAGAGAAACATTGATGTGAGATAGAAATATTGATCAGTGACCTCCCACATGCACCCTGATTGGGGATCGAGCCCACAACCTAGGCATATGCCCTGACCAGGAATTGAACCCACACCCTTTGGTATAGAGGATCATGCTCCAACCCACTGAGCTCTCCGGCCAGGGCTGTCCTGTCCATTTAATGGTAGACTTGCTCTTTAAGAGCAGGCATGTTTTGGCAAATCATGTCATTGTAATTTTACCACAAGGAAAAGATTTGTGTTATTCTTCCTTAATGAAATACCTGTGCAGGTGGTTCAGAAATATGAAGAATCTTTTGTGCTTTCAGAATTAGAAAGGACCTTACAGATAAATTTGAATAGCACTATTTATCAATAGGGAAGCTAAAGTCCAAAGGCTAAACATTAGTGTGTGATTAAGTGGAAGTCGCAGCTGGGATTTAAATCTGGATCATCTGACAGTCCACTTGCTAACGTTACTTCATGTCCCATATTTATTAATGATATTTATGTTTTTAAAATGACTGTGATAAAACCAAAGAATGTTTTATTCAATTAGTAATACAGAAGGAAAAAGTAGTGCTGAATTATATGGGTCTTCTATCAAGCTTTTCAAATACGATTTTGCAAAGGCCTGCAAAAATCTTAGAGATGGGTGAAGATTTATAGCCCTTGGCATGGGGACAGGATACATCAGTGGGGTTCTCAGCTTTCAGAGTAATGCGCTTGAGCAGAATGCATTTTCTTTCACTAGGCAAGTCAGAGAATATTAATGCTTTGATTGGTCCTGAATCACAATTAGAGTCTCCCACGATTGCCAGAGTATGGAGTACTTATTAGAGTGGAGCCCTTTAGTATATTTTACACCTGGTTAGAGCAGCCCCTAAAAGTTTCTCTTTTATGAGAGTCTGAATATGCTTTGGACACTGCTTCACTTCCAAGCCTCAGCACAAGTATGCTCTATGGACTAGCATCTCCTTGAAACTTTTTAGGAATGCAGAGTCTCTGGCCCCACCCAGACCTGCTCCATCTATAGTTTAACAAGATTCCTAGGTGATTCATATATACAGTAAAGTATGGAATATACTGGTCTAGAGCTGGGGGTCACAGAATTTGGTCTCTGAACCAGCAGCATTCGCATCACCTGCAAAATTGCTAGAAGATGCAAATTCTCAGGCCAAACATCCCATACCCACTGTATCAGAAACTCTGGGTCAGCCCCGCTGCATGTGTTTTAACAAGCCCTATAGGTGATGTCCGTTCATGCTAAACTTTGAGAGCCACTCTAGAGCAGGGTATTTCCAACAGTTTTGATCATGACTCACAAGGAGAAATACATTTTATATCATGACCCAGTACACACACACAAATACACATACACAAACTTATGAGTTTTATAAAACTGCTTATCTTACTATGTGCTATTTATTCTGATCTTTTCAGTTTTATTCTGGGGTGTGTGTGTGTGTGTGTGTGTGTGTGTGTGTAAACTTATATAAAAATCTGGTCATGACCCACACAGCTGATTACAGAAGCCACTAGTGGGTCATGACCTACAGTTTGAGGCCTGATGCTCTTGAATAGAGTCTCTTAATCTACATTTGTGCCGTGGCCCCTTTTGATAGCTTGGTAAAGCTCTGCATCTCTTGTTAGAATAATGCTCTTTAAGTGCATGCAATAATATACATGGAGCTGCAAAAGAAACAAACTATGTTGGCTACCAAAATATTTCACAAATTTGTGATGTGGCAAGATATTGTATTTTTTTATTCAATAATAAGGTTTAGTGATGGGTCTAGTAACTACTGTCATTTCAAAGTAGGCATGATTGTAAATGATAGTTCAAAATACCTGCAGCAACTTTTGTGGTGTGAGAGTGGCTATGATTTCTATTGGTGACAAAGTTAGTTACTCATGATAATACTGTGGTTTGTTGTGTACATTTATATTTGGGAAAAAAATGCTAAGTTTCAGCTTAAGGTAAGTGAAAGTAAAGATGAATTCCCCTCCCACCCCCGCCCTCATCTAACTTCAGAATTCCAGAGTTCTGTTGGCAGACACCCATGGAACTGAGGTTAAAAACCTTTGCTCAAGGGGAACCTTTCTCTAGAGAATACTTCTCATGCTTTAGGTTGAGACTGTACACCAGAAAATTACCTTTCTGAAATTTCTTAAAACTGGTGCTTTGTCAATGGCATGTTCCCCGCTCCCTAGCACCATCGTAATGGATTTTTCTTTAAATGTTTTTTCTCTTTTACTGAGCCATTGGGAAATCACCTGAAGTCCAGATTCATGCTATCGTTAATTTTCCTTTTTTCTCTCCCCTTTCGTTATTCAGGTTCCCAGTTGCTCAAGCCAGATTCCTGGGAGTCATTCTCTGGGTCATGGGTTCTGGATTCAGGATTTGAATCTGGGACCCACAATTTACTGGCTGTGTAATTTTGGATAAATTATTTACCTGCTTGTTGCCTCCTTTTCTCCACCTGTGAGAATGGGATGTTAGTATTGCCCACCTGAGAGGATTGTTCCGTGCATTATATGAGAGATCCCATGTATCTCATTAGAACAGTGCCTGGCCTGGAATAAGTGGTTAGTAATTGTTATTTCCTATAATTGTCCTTCATTTCTTCCTTTCCTTCATTCCTTAAATTCACTGTATCAGAAAATTAATGTAGATTCTCTCTACAAAATATATTCCAAATTCATCCACTTCTATTACCCTACTCTGAGCTTCCATACTCTCTCATTTGGACTCCTAACTGATGTCTCTGCTTCCTCTTGATTCACTCCAATGCTTGTAATCTTTTGAAGTGTAAATGATCTTTAAAAAAATGTTAAGGAACCACTGTATGTTTAAAACCCTTTGGGTCTTTGCATGAGACCTTTCCTTGACCTGGATGCCCTGTGTGTTTGGCCCCTGCCTGCCCTCCAGTGTTACATCCTGCTGTCCTGTGCTCCGGGTCGGCCTTACACTTGCCCGTTTACCCCTATTCTGTGACCACATTGGCCTTCGCTCAGTTATTAGGGTAGCGGAGTTCTTTCATACTTTAAGGGCATCACATATGACCCTCCTTCTGCTAAGATGGATGTTTCTGTCCCCAGCCTGTCATCCTTCTTGGCTCTGCAGGTATTGGTTCCTCAGAGAGCCTTCCCTACCCTACCTCAGTTAGGGCACCAGGTTCCTCTTTCACCAGCCTGGAGCTCCCTAAACACATCAGAAAATTAACATGTCTTCTCTATTGGGGAAAAGGATAATTAATGACCTGTGATCATCAAGCATGTGACACCAAGAAGAATGTCACCTTTTCCAGAAATATAAATTTTACACAGTAGGAACATGAAGTGATTATAGAGCTATTTCAAGAAATTGCTAACCTCAAAATTGTACAAGCTAGGTCTTTGACATCCGTGTATAAGAACAGAGAGAGGCCTGGCCACGAGTCTGCCTGGGGTTCGGAGATGGAGTTCATCATAACCCAGTCATGGGCCTTCTACGACTGCCAGTCATTTCTGTTCCAAAGGAAATAAAAGATGTCATAAAGTTTCCGTCTTTGAGATAGTTGTCTGGTTGCTGAAGAAACTCTTCGTATTCCTCTCTCCCAAAGAGAATGGTCATTTGCTGCTCAGACATGGGAAAGATGTCTCATTAAATTAGAGGGTGGGAACTAGTGTGAGTAATGTCGGGGTCCCAATGACTCCTTGATTGGACGAGGTCACCTTTGTGTTTTGAAATTTTTATTTCATTACTTATTTTTAATTAATCCTAGGCAAGAGAAGGGGGACACTTCTGATTTTTGTCAGTTGCCTAAAGCAGTGAAGAAGAAGGTTGTAGGAATTCACGATCATGATGTGAACCACTTTCACGGTCACCTTTGTGGGTTTTCTTTCAAATAAAAGGACTTTTAAGAATTCCATAAGACACTGGGACAGATGCTCAAATTTAGGACAATTGGTATAAATGGGATGCCCAGCTCTTCTGTGCCTTGTGTGACTGAATGGGGTTCCTGATTAAATAAAAATGTATTCACTTTGGGGGCAAGATTCTTTTCTGTTGGTTTAGCAGACCCCTACACACAGCAGAAACGCTCCTGCTGTGGGCTGTGGGTAATGGTAATCATTTGGAAAATGATGTGTCTAAAATCAAATAGTTTCCCCATTGTAAAAAAATAATGTAAACCTAATTTTTAAAAATTCTACCATAATTCTGCCTTCCAATCCAGCCAACTTCCTCATATTTTTCTTATTTCCCTACACATGTTCATGTGTTTATCTTTTTAAATACAGGGTCCATCAGAAGTAAGGCCTGCTTGAGTGTGATTGGTAGGGTAATAATATGAGTGTAATAATTTATCATTTTAATTTGAACATTTGACCTAAAATGCCATATGGTATGTTGGAGTGTGATATTATTATGCTATAGAATTATGTCACATAATTTTGTAATAAAAGAAGGGGCCAGGCCCTGTATAGTTGTAATCTTGCAGTCGTCATCTTGTATTCTGATTTTTGTCAGGGTATGTTTTTCACATTTCTTTTTTAATGGCTGTATAGCACTCTGTCGAGTCATAATTACTTAGCCAACTTCTTGGTTGGTTTGCTGTGTGATGTATTTTTAATTATGCCTTTGTTTTGTTCTAATTTTGCAGGCAGAGACATTTGTTTGGGGTAACAATGCATCAGCACATTCCCAGAGTGTTGCCAAGGCAAAATACGAATTTTTATTTGGCAGATCTGAAGAGAAAACTCCAGATACTAGTAAGTGTTTCTTTATCCTGCGCTTCTCCTTCAGGTCACAGATATAAAACACTACTGAAATTTCAATCTCAGGAGCTGAGAATTCTTCAAACTACAAACCTACTTGAAATCACCTACAAGAATCACATCGTATATTTCCGAATTCTACATCTTAGGAAGACTTTTGATGAATAATTGAAGCAAACATGTTTCATGGAAGTAAAAAGGCAGCAATGCGGGTAAAATGCGGGAGAAAACGTAGATGATAAAGGAAATATTAGCATGTCTTGGGAATTAGGAAAGGCACGTTGCATGTGGTTCGGGGCTTAGGCCCCGGAATCTGTACGTCCTGAATTTGAAATCTGGCCTTGTAACTTCTAAGGTGTGTGACCTTGAGTAAGTTACCGAATCTATTTGTGGCCTAGTTTTCTATCTGGAAAATGAGATTATAGGGATACATGTTTCAGAATTGTTTTGAGGATTAAGAACATTGACATATGTAAGGACCTCACAGCCATGCTCCGTAGTAGGAACTGCTGTAAAAGTGTTTGCTGCTGTTACCATCATCACCGTCGCATCCCTGAGCTTTGAAGTTGGCATTTGGAAGTACAGACCTGACTTTCTTCCCTGAGACCTGTTTCTGTTTTGAGTAGACAAGGAATCTGACCTAGTGTAGTTGTCGTCAGTTGAAAAAGTCAAATAATTACTATACATTTTTGACATGTGTTAGATGGGATTATTTAGTGAATCCCATGATATTTGGGTATATCAAGAATGCAGTGTATATGCAGCCATTTAATAATTCCTTTTTACCTTAATAATGAATACTTATTAGATATTTCAGTAGTTGGGGACTATTAATAAAGTTTAAAAGTGCAAAGTTACTTTTAAAACATCATTCTGTCTTTATAACAGGTCCCAATTTGCTCTTTATCATGTCACACAAATACCTAAGTATTCTGGGCCCTAGGTTTGTGGCACTTAGTCATTATTTTCAGAGAGGGACTGATTGTAGGCACTCCAGACTCCTCCCTGACATAACCTTAACTTGAATACCTAATTGTGATTTTGTGCTGATTAAGCTTATTTGGACTTTGATAAAACATGATTTTTACTTTGCTTTGTAAATCAAATGTCTGCATAGTTACCTGACTTATTGGTGTTTGGGTTTGGTTCTTCTTTGCTCATAGGTTTTGAGTAGTTTCCCCTGTATATCTGAGATAAATCAAAGTGATATTTTAAACCTTCCGTTCCTTATTTGCCGTGGTAAAAAACAGTTGGTATTATTTATTTAGTGATGTTATTCTGCAAGTGTGAATGTATGTGTGCATTTATTGAGCAAATATTTTTAATGGGTTCTTACTGTGTGCTTGGCACTGTGAGGGCGGAAAGAAGTAGAAGATGCAGGTCTTGACTTTTAGTAGCTTATTTTTTGGTCAGGGAGAAATGTGCCTGTGAGTGATTGAAGGAAGGGAATGACCCCTTTCAGCTGTGGTCTGGTGACCTCACAGAGGAGGGGGAAGATGAACTTGTTCTTAATAACTAGGATTCTGATTCCTAGAGTTTTGGGACAGGACATGGTATGAGCAAAGTGTGGTAGCAGAAAATATAAATTGTTTGAGGAACAGGGAGGGGACTGGCCTGGTTGGTTTGTAAAGCGTATCAGTGGGAGCTAAGTTTAGAACGATAACCATTACGTAAGGGGCAGAATCTTGCTGGGCTTTCTAAGGCAGGGTGAAGAATTTGCACTTTATCCAGGTATGCAAAAAGGAAGTGCCAAGTTCTGTTTTAGATACATGAATCAACGTGGATTGATCAGCACATTGGAACGGGGCAGCAGGTTTTGTTTCTTACTGTAGGAAGGTAAAAGATGCAGGTTTTTATTGACTTTTGAAAAAGTCCTCTTTTCCTAGCTTCACAAAGACGTGATGGTATATTTTTATCATTTCAAAAATACTCTTGAAGTTTATTTATATAAGCCATTCATCTGTCATCAAAACACTGCCCAAACTCAGGAGACCACAGGCAAAGGTAGTAGAGAGAGTAGGGTCGTGTTTCCTTTTGAATTTGATTGATAGACATGCCTCTTTTCACCCAGGACTTTTTAAAAATGGGTTAAGTAAATGACTTAAACTGTCTTAATGCTCCAGAAATAGCCTGCTGGAAAAATGGAAATGCCGACAGTGACTTTTGAATGCATCTTGTGTAATACCCAGGGGGCATCACCTGAGATCAGTGAGGTCCGTTGGGTCATGATCCCCACTTAGGCCCAAGGAAGGTGTTGCTGCTCTAGGAAGAGAGGCTTAGACTTGGCCACTGAGCAGGGACTTAACATGGGTTGCAGGTGGGAGGTTCTAGGGAAGATGAGTCAAGATTATTTGCAAGCTGTTGCTTATAGCAGGGATCTTCAATCAGCGACCAGTGTTTAGGGCGTTGGATGGAGTGTGGAAGGACATGTGAACAGTGGGAAGAATCCAGGGGTTGGGATTTAAAATCTAGATTCTCATTATCTGTCCATCAATATAGGTAAAGGAAAGAGGGGACCATGCTTGTCTGGTTTCTCTCCTCTCTGCTCCTTTCTGGGAGCTGCCACAGCTTTCAGGAGCTTTTCAAGGGCCAGAGCAGTAGTTGGTAGTTGCTGTGAGGCTCTGAGCTGTGTGTGACACCAGGTGTGCTGTGACTTATGAGGAGGCAGCAAGTTACTGGTGGCAGGTTTGCCTCTTCCAATATTTGGGGAGCTGCAAAGTGAAAAAAGAGGGACCGTGGAGCCTCCCCCGGGGCTAACCACAAGGCCTGTATCCATCAGCAGATGGGTGATAGTGCCTCCCGGACTTGCCGCTCAGCACGCCCGTCCCCTTGAGATTACTGCTCTTAGGGGACCAGCGTGGCTTTTCTGTACTGTTCAGGGAGAGTACACTCGAACGGAGGGTGGCTTCATTGTGGGAAAGGATGTTCTTTGAAGTGTTCCTAAGGCAGAGTCAGATGGCCAAAGTCATTGGTCTCTCTCTCTTGGTCAAAGGCCAGGAGGAAGAAATGCTTGAGAGCCTCTGAGGGAGACTAGGACTTCCTTGGCTTGTAGGGAGAACAGGTGACTGACTTGGAGGTGTGTGAGGCAGCGACAAAGTCGGTGGGGTGCTAAGAAGGGGCATCAACTAACTTCTTATATTAACTCTTAAAAGCTTACAAAATCTTTCTTCTATGTTCTGTACTGATTTATCAACTTTTTTATTGCTTTTTTTCTTTCCCTTGAGAGAGAGAGGGAGAGAGACATTGATTTGTTGTTCCACTTACTTATGTGTTCTTTGGTTGATTCTTGTATGTGCCCTGACCAGGAATTGAACCTGCAACCTTGGCATATTGGCACAATGCTTTAACCAGCTGAGCTAGCCGGCCAGGGTTTTTGTCTTACCTTTTCTTTTACAAGGCTTATGGCATTTACGTTCTGTTCCAAAACTCTAACAAAATCTTTTGTGCTTTCACTTCAGGTTCACTCAAACCATTTAAAATCTAGCATCAGCATGTACAAGATGCAGCCTCCGAGTAGTGTGGTTAGACCTGAAGTGAAGAAGTAGATCTTGTGTCCCTAACCTCTTCTGCTCAAGGGACAGTACAGCCAATCTGAGCAGAGAGGAGAAAGAGTAAGGGGCGGGGGTAGAAAATTGTTACAGTTTGCTGTTTGATTGTTAGGTCTTTACTTTATTACTAGATGTGGCTGTAGTATTTGTAGCTGGCAATTCGTTTTCACCTTGAAGACGTTCTTCTTAGAACCTTCTGACAACTTGTTCTAAATTGTGCCAAAAGTTTTCTAGGCCTTTATAACACTATTCTCCTTACACTTTGACAGAATTCTTTACTGCATTCTTAATTAGATATACTGCTCCTTGGATTCCACGCTGCATTTTTGGAATCTTATTTTTTTTTCCCTCTGGAGTATATCTCTTAATATTTCCAGAGAGGTTCTGGGATGGGTAACATTCTTAAAGCTTTGTATGTCTGAAAATGACTATTTTGTTTTTATGCTTCATTGCTGATTTCCCTGGAACTGAAGTCCAGGTTCAGCTCCTTTCCCTTGAGAACTCCGGAGCGCTGTTTTGCTCTCTGTGGGCATCTGTTGGCACTGGGCTGACGCCTGCTCTTTTGTGTGTTACGTGCTCCTTCTCTCCGGACACTCTGAAGGGTTCTCTTTACCAGCCCTCTGACATGTCAGGAGGCGTGACATCTGGAAACATGTGTGTTATTATTTTTTAAAATTATTCCCCCTCTATTTTTTTAATGATTTTTCCTTCTGAAATGCCTATAGATGGATGTTGGTTCTCCTGGATTGGATTAAGCTTGTGTCTCTTAATTTTTTTCTCCTGTTTTAAAATATCACCTTCTGTTCTTTCTAGGAAATTTCTTATTTTGATCATTATATTTATAATTTCAAGAGTCTGTTCCCATGCTCTGATCACTCAGTTTTCATTGCACTCTGTTCTTTTATGAATTCATTACAATTTTGAATCTCTCTGAAGAATTAATTAGAATTTGTTTTCTAAGTTTATCTTCTGTTTCTCAAATTCTGCTTCATCCAGGGTCAGTTCTGTTTCACTAAGTCTTAGAACTTCTCTTGAAAGCCACTGCTTTTCCTCAAATGTCTGTCGGAATTTATTTTTCCATTCCTATGCGTGAATGAAAAACCAGGCTCCCAAACAGATAGCTGGGTTTCTCTGTTGTGCGGATTGTGTGTCCCCAGCAGGCCTCTTCGCTGCATGCGGAGGGGGCTGAGGAGACTCCGGGTGAGGTCGGGAAGCTGTGCAGGGGCAGGCGGGTGTGCGGCCCATTGTATTACACCCAGGCTGAGTGTCTGGTACCAGCAAGAACCTGGGTAAGAAAGGAAGAGGGGAGGGGGCCGATGTGGGGAGCTGACCTATAGGCAATTCTCTTAAGTCTCCAGTTAATTACAGTTGGCATCTGTTCTTCTTCCCATTCCAGGTATGGGATACCTGCCAACTTGGGGCTTGTAGCTTCTCTGTGGCTCTGCT